TTCCTTCCTTCCTTCCTTCCTTCCTTCCTTCTCCGCCCCCCCTTTTTTTTTTAGTTCAGGGCACTATCTCTTACTCTAATTAAGAATATTAAGGCAGCATTTGACTAAGGTAAAATAATTGATTTATCTTTGTTCTCTATTGTACCAATCTCTGTGATTTTTTATATTTCTCTGAATGAACATCTCTTCTCTTCCCAGGGGCGACTGTTCCAAGTTAAAGTCAGTCTCCACTTTGTAGCACAAAATCTGAATGCTTTTCATTTAGAGGTGAACAGGACCTTGAAGATATCTCATGCAGTTAGTAATTGTCTGGAAAGAGTTTGTTCCCGCTGCTGCTCTCTTTCCTTCCGTCTAGTACTCTCCCTCTTTCTTATAACAACTGTGTATTCATTCATCACCCACTGTGTTCCCCGCATAAAGATTGTTGAATGGCAATCAGGTGCTCAACGTGCGATAATGTCTTGGGAAATTTTGCTCTTTGTATTTAGACCATTTCCTCTGCAGTAGGTTTTCAAAGCAGTCCTTGCAAATGTGCCCCTCTCCCAATGAATTTAAAGAGCTTTTAAAGATAGGAACCTCACTAATTAACTCAAGTTAGGAAATAAATTAATGGAGTGAAGAGGAAGAAATCATGGCCTGCGTCCTTCAGATTAATACAATGCAATTTCCTTTGCGGGTTTCATAAAACGTAAGCTTTGGGGCATTTATAACCAGAACAAATGAACATATAAATTGTTTACAAATCGCTGAATTTAATGTAGTGAGTTAGCTGTCTTTTTAGCATTTCAGTTAACAGATGTATCAAGTTAAAACAAATATTTGCTCATTTCAGACATTTTGCATTTAATGTGAAATGTAAATGATGACATAGCACAAGATGCCTTTGGAGTTCCTGAGGCAATAAAAAAAACAATTAAGGATTTCCTTCCTTGTTAAAAATGCTAACTTCTGCATAACAGAAGTGAAATTCATAAATCTACCCCAGATGAGGAAGTCTCTGTAGAAAATATTAATTTTCCATTCTACATCCTTTGCAATTGTGTCTCAGTCTAGTGGAGGTGCTGGGCTGGTGGAAATGAAACAAATTGGGGACCCTGGGGGAGAGAGATGCTGCAGTGCCTCCTAGCTCTCAATTAATTTGCAGGAGAAAACAAAAATAATGTAACAGTGTACATTTCTGGAAAAGTGGGTCTCTTCATGCCTCTTGTCAGCTCAGTGAGAACTTAGTGCTTGACTCACTACCTTTTTGCAAGGTGATGGCTGGCATGGCCTTGGCAGCACTCATCTGATGCGGGACAGAGGCTGTTGGTCTAAATTCCTGCCCCTTCTGGAGGAGAGGAACTGGTGTATTTGGAAGGGGAAAGAACTGAGATGTTGACAGTGATTCCTCTTGTATCTGAGAACAATCAGTACCTGAAAAAAACACTCTTAAAGTTAGTTCCTTGAAATGGAGTCCAACGTTTTATGTGAAAAGAGGTTTGTTTGGATTTCACTGTGAAAAACAAAAGTGAAAATTATGAAAAGAAATTTGTCTTATATTTTATCAAACAGGTTATAATTATGTTGTAATTCTTATAAAAATTTTCAGAATGAAGTGAGTGTGGCTTTTTGGAGGACATAATTTTTCTGACAAACTGTATGATGGCCTTTGTGTCTGATTTTCTCAGCAAGGTTATATAGAGGGCTCTCCCAAGGCCTTCTGTTAACTCTTTGCTATTTAAATCGCCCTCATTGAGTCACCTGTTCCGTCATCATTCTTGTCACTTTCTCATTCTTTCAGGGACCGGGATTCCTGGTCTAATTTCAGGATTCACTGGTCTAATTTGGCCAGAACTCCATTTGTCAGTGGCTTGATATCTGATTTCCTGTGTTTCTCCTGCTCCCCTCTCATTGCCTTCATGAAATTCTGTACCCTGTATGCAGGCCAAGCACCTCAAATAAAATTAATTCAAAAATCAATCTCTATACCCTAGTGTATATCTGCTGATTACATGGAAATGTATGCCAGGTGCCAAAAATAGTTTTTAAATAGTTGTTTTCTTGTGTAGTTTAAATGCTGGCCTTAACATCATGCCTATGTCATTAATTTTCTTAGCAAAGGCTTTTTCTGTGGTATAAAGGGATATGCCAACTCAGTCTCTCAGGGAAATATTACCAAAA